GATTTGGATGTTGTGTTGGTGCGTGTGTGTGTGTGTGTGTGGTTGGTTCAGACTCCTTAGGCTGACGTCATTGAATCTGGTCGTCTTTGTTATGACTAGATATCACGAGGCTTATAAAGTGATGACATGAGCTGCTATTTTGCCGTGTACGTACCCAGTGGGGGGCCTCCCAGGTAGATCAGGAAATGCCAGGTCCAAGAACCTCGGATGTGTACTGGAGCTGTCGGAGCAGCGGTCGCAGCACGTCAAAGCCCGTCTGAAGGGTCGACCCCGGTACCAATCGGCAGCGTCAGCAGGTGCTCTTATTTTGGAAGGATGTCGTCTGGTTGTTTAACGACGAAAATCTCCAACTTCACAGTTCTTAGTTTAAAGAAGAAAACACATCTGGCCAGGCTGTGATTTTCTTTGGGATGACGGTGAATAGAACTGAAGTCAATATGGAACTGAGCTTAAAATGGCGTTGCCTTGTTTTATATCTCTGAATTGTTGATAAGTTTTAGTAAAGCGGATTGGATACTTTAAGTCAACAAGCCAGATTCTCCTGCGGCAGCCGAAAGCTCTGATTGGTTGGAACAATGTGTCATGCGTTTCTATGGAGATGAGGATCAGTCTGTCTGTGCAATAGTCCTGTTTTCATTAAACACATAAATCATGACATCTTTATTCCACAGATCATTCACTTGATTATTATTGATCAACATATGTTTTGCTTAATTTTTTTAATCACAAATAAAGTACTTTGATTAAGTAAAAGCGTTCTTCTTCTCCTTCGGACTCTTCTCCTGGAATGTAAACAGTCTGAGGAACACCCGACCTTGGCTTTTATACACGGGTGTTACTGTGTACAGGGGCAGCTGTGTGGAGCTGAAAATAATGAACTTCATAACCTTACAGCACCTTGGGGTTCCCTTTGCTCTGGGACACCAGGTTGGAAAAATAGGAAAACCTAGAATCTTTGACTGCAGAGTTAAAGTATGTCAGAAGATCCTTTAGGTGCAGCAGATGAACGTGGAGATGGGGTTTCTTCCACAAGCGCTCCATTTTTCTGCATTGGCGCTTTAGGCTGCAAAGTAAACCAGGGAGTAGGGTTCACTGCAGGAACTGATCTGGTTGTGACAGGACAGATATTGTCCAGAATGGAGAGGCAATGCTTGTTAAACTGAGAAGTTAAGGAATCTGGGTCATTATCAGAAGAACAGGGTGGATCAAAAGCAGCAGAAAAAAATTCTAGCTGTGCTCTCATTTAGAAAAGAAGAACTAACCATACAGCCAGCAGGAGGTGGGGATACAGAAACTGACAAGTTAAAGAAAATGCAATGGTGATCTGAAATATATGTAAATGTCCTCAGGACAAACACTGTCAGCATTTAGACCTAGGGAAAAAACAAGGTTTAGAGTGTGCCCCCTGGTGTGTGTGGGGCCAGAAACATGCTGGGTAGATTTGAAGGAGTCCATAAGGCTGGAGAAATTCATGGCAAAGTGATCAGAGGGATCATCAACGTGGATGTTAAAATCACCCACAATCACCAGTCTGGACAGCTTCACAGTGGAGTATAGAAAGTCACTCAACTCCTGAAGGAAAGAACTGTTTGGACCAGGTGGACGATAGACCACAGCACAGTAGAACGGGTCCTTACACCCGACTTTAATCAGCTGCAGTTCAAAGGAAGCAAAGTGACCAGAGGTTGTAGAGCTACATGGCAGATGGTCTCTGAAAACAACAGCTAGGCCTCCACCATGACCAAGAACCCCAGGGCTGGCTAAGAAAAGATGACATTTTTTCCTCCCAATGTCATGCTGCTCCTGATCAATCTGAGAGTGTGTGCCTACCTGAGGAAACCCTGGACAGTTTTGTCTTGGTTGAAGCTGAGATTATTGATAAAGCTTTCTCCTCAGTGAGGCCCACCACATGTGTTCTGGACCCTATTCCCACAAGGTTTTTTTAAACAATTTTATGACTCTTTTAGAGATGAGATTTTAACTTTCATGAACTGTTCCCTTCAGACAGGGGTCTTTCCTGCTGCTTTTAAACGGGCGGTGGTCAGACCCCTGTAGAAGAAGAGCAATTTAGATTTTAATGACTTTAACAATTTTCGACCGGTATCCAACTTAACATTTTTAAGCAAAATTTTAGAGAAGCTTGTTTTAATACAACTTAATGATTTCATCAACCACCAACATGTCCTAGAAAATTTTCAGTCTGGTTTTAGGGTGAACCACAGCACTGAGACGGCCCTTCTGAAGATTTTAAATGACTTTAGAACAAATTATGATGCTCGGAGGGAAACAGTGTTGGTTCTGCTGGATCTAAGCGCTGCCTTTGATAAAGTAGACCACACTATTCTTTTAACCCGTTTAAAACAGATCTACCTCTCTGGTGCTGTTCACAGTTGGTTCACTTCTTACCCCACAGACAGGGCTTTTATGGTGAGTTTGGATACCTGTTCCTCTGGAGTCCACAGCATCACATGTGGTGTGCCTCAGGGTTCAATTCTAGGCCCAGTGCTTTTTAACCTCTATATGCTCCCTCTGGGCAGCATCATCAGGAGACATGGGGTGAATTTCCACAGTTACACTGACGATACAAAGTTGTACATCTCCGTGTCTCCTGATGACGCACAGCCAATGGAAACACTTTTTAACTGCATTTTAGATATTAAATCATGGATGACTGAAAACTTTTTCCAGCTCAACCAAGGCAAAACTGAAGTTTTAGTCATCTGTCCTGAGGCCCAGAGAGAGAAACTTTTACCTAAACTACAATCAGTGTCTTTTATATCCATCACTACAAGTGAAGAATCTGGGTGTTATTTTTGACTCTGAGCTGACTTTTATTCCCCACATTAAAAACATCACAAAAATAGGTTTTTACCATCTTAAGAATATCGCCAGAGTCCACCCCATTCTCTCTCGGGCCAATACGGAGACGCTAATGCATGCTTTTATAACCAGTAGAATTGATTACTGCAATGCCCTGCTTTCTGGTCTTCCCAAAAAGTGTATCTCAGGTTTACAGCATTTACAAAACTCAGCAGCACGTGTCCTGATGAAGACCAGGAAGAGGGAGCAAATCACTCCGGTTTTAAAATCACTGCACTGGCTCCCCGTATGCTTCAGGATCGATTTTAAGGTTCTTTTAATGGTTTTTAAGTGTCTTAATTGTCTTGGGCCTTCTTATCTTTCAGAAATGCTTTTACTATATAAACCCTCGTGGTCTCTGCGCTCCTCTGGCAGCCGTCTCCTAGTTATCCCTAAAGTTAAGACTCACAACCACGGCGAGGTGTCCTTCAAGTACTATGGCCCTCGCCTTTGGAACGGGCTGCCGGCAGACCTCAGGGCCGAAGGGAACATCCAGGCTTTTAAGAATAGGCTCAAGACCCACCTTTTTAGCTTAGCTTTTAACTGATTACTATTTATCTAGTCTGTTTAACTGAATCGTCTGTCATATTTGTTTATATATATATATATATATATATATATATATATATATATATATATATATATATATATATATATATATTAAATCACTTTAAATTAATTTTATCATTTTATTTACATCTTAGTGTTTTTACATGATTATGTTTTCTTTTACTATCTTTATAATCACTTTTTATCAGTTACTTTTTATCTATATTAGCTTTTGTTATTTTACAGTTTTATATTTTAATCCTCCAGTGTTTCCTCTGCGGAGCCCTCTGCCTTGGGGCCGGTGGTCGGCGACGGCGGCCGGAGCGCTCCTCGGGTAGTGCCCGGGCAGTGGTGGGGGTTTCTGCCCTCCCCCACTGGGCGTCATGGGCCGGTGTCTTGGCTGCTGCCGTGGATCTGTTGCTGTCAGGGCAGATGGCTCCGCTGATGATGTGTCGTTCATTACCTGACCCATCTGAACTCAGCCTATTGTTTCCTCTGTTGTTCACGTGTGTGTGTGTGTGTGTGTGTGTGTGTGTGTGTGTGTGTGTGTGTGTGTGTGTCAAAGTCAAAGTCATTTATTGTTATCTTCTACCACATGTGCAGGACATGCAGAGAAATGAAATTCAGTTTCAGCACACACAATTCAAAGATCAGACATACGTGGATAAGACACATAACAAGAATTGGTGACTGCGGTCATTCGCAACATGAGTACCTTAATAGATAGATGAAAAGGGTGTTACATGAGGATAAGTGGGGGTAGGTAAAAAAAGGCATAGCAGAGTTAGCCCCAGCGGGGAGTAACTCTATTATACAAAAAAAAAAAAAACTCCTTTCAACATGGAGGCACAAAACAGCACAGATACAAACATCAGAGTCCGATGGGGAGGTGGGGATGGGCGGGATCCTGAAGCCTCCAATGGGAGCTGCCACTGCGGCGCATCGACCAGCTGCAGACCAACAGGTGGGAGGGAGAGATAAGGAACAGAGAGCACATTGAAGTTCCTGCAGACATGTCAGCCTGAAGGAAGAGGGTGAAGGTCGGGACACAGCATCTGTCGGCATTCCTCCTTTTGTGGGGGTGTGTTGAGGCAGCCTTGAGAGGCTGCTATGGCGTCAGATAAGGATAAACATGACTTTGTTTAGGGCAGGCAGAGATAATCTTCCTCTCCGCCTTGGAGTCTTTAAGTGGTCATTCATGTCCACCAGTGAAGCCAATTTTACATTCCACATCCCCGCATCGTCCGGCGACCCTCTCCGAGATCAAATCCATCTTGCGCACTAACACAGGCAACGCCGTGAGGACATTGTCCAGCTTACGGTTCACCTCGAGTAACGTCCCAGTCTGTGAGGTCACCGCCCGAGCGGCACATTCCGTGGGTACGGGTCGCACTCCAATCGCTCCCGTCTTCCCAAATTTCCAGAAAACCAGATGTGTGTGTGTGTGTGTGTGTGTGTGTGTGTGTGTGTGCATGGACGAGTGTGCGGGTGATTGTATGTCCACTTTGGAAGTTGGGTGCGGGAGGGGAACCGTAATTGTCAATTGTTTTATACTTGTGGGGGGGGGCTGGGATGGGAATATGGGATCTATTGGGCCATTTTAATCTGTGAAGCACTTTGAGTTGCATTTTTTGTATGAAAAGTGCTATATAAATAAAGTTGATTTGATTTGAAAAGAATAACCACTCGGGCAGAGTTCAATCAGACCAGAATAATCAGATGTTTGCTGCCAAACTTCAGTCAGAAACAGAAAATCCAGGTTTTTAGAGAGAATTAAATCATTGAGCAGGAAGGACTTATTGTTAACAGAGCAGGTATTTAATAGAGCCATGCTGAGTGAGGTGGAGGAATCAGAAACTACAGAAACAGCTAGAGTTAGTGGACGTAAAATAGCAGGGTTAGATCCATGGTGTTTATAAAAACCACTTATGGAGGGAACAGGAGGAGAAACCACTGAGGAATGAGGATAAACCGACCTTAAAAAACTTGGACGGAAAAACTGTGCCACAACGCGGCCTGGCGGGAATGCAGAAGTGGCGCTCAAGTCGCCAAACAAAGGACAAGAAGCAAGAAGATCACGCCGATGTTTACTAGATAAACCACGCTTTAAGAAAAGTCTTATGCTCACCTTGATTCCTGCTTGTTTACCTCTTCCTCCGACGTTTTCCTGAGACCGGTTAAACATCGCTGGAGGCACTCTAGTTGGGATCGTTGTTCGGCTCCGGGCCAGTACGCCACTCAGGTAAACAAACAGGAAGCTACGTCCTCGGTGTGTCTTGGGTGATTGTGAACGAATGGGCTAACAACGCCCTTTCTCAAACAGTCTTTTAGGGGGAGGGTGTTACCACCCCAGGGGTAAACCCGAACACCTTCCTGCCTGCCTACCATATTACTGCTGTTCAGCTCTGTTATTTTTCAGTTATTTTCCTGGCAGGTTCAGCTCCAAGCAGCGAAGCCTGCTGAAGGCTCCACCCAGCTGCTCCCCATCAAGCTAATCAGCTGCAGCTGCTACTTAAGGAGCTGCTGAACTCTCATTGAAGGAGGGTTTGTGGAGTCAGAAGGAGGTTGTAGAGAGAAAGCAAAGGAGTTTGCTGAGAGCTCATGTGTTGGAGTAGTCTTCCTTTTTGAGCATTTGGAGACTTCATTAAACGTGGCTGTGTTTGTTTAGTCTCTTTGGCATTTTATGAGACTCGGTCAAACTAGCAGCTTTTGTTTTGTCCTTTAAGTAACTCGAGACTTTGATTTATTTAATCCTTGGCATTTGAGCATTTGAGCCCTTTTAGTTGGAAGCCCATCGCGAGGCCCCTTTTGGTTTGTACCTCTTGTCTTTTGGTTTTTGCTCTATTAAGGAGAGGTTTATTTTGTTGAGGTTCATAGTCGATTGCTCATTTTAGAAACGAGTCACTTTGACTTAAGCCCTTTTTTAAAAGTCAGAGCTTTTTAAGTTAAAGGCCTTTATTTTCAGGCCTTTAACTTTGCCTGTTTTAATAAATTGTAACAAAGCTTCCTCTCTGAGTGATGTCCCCTGTTGTAGCGTCATCAAGGTTCTTAATTTGTGGCAAAGGTCACATTTACCCAGCTGGGTCAAACAGTAACTTTCAAGTCCACAGATTAACCAAGGAGTCAATATGTCTGGAAGAACATCACCACTACCATCCCAGAAGAAGGACACTTCAAGTTCACGATAATAATTAAATAATAATATTAATAAAACTCTTTGACTCTTTCAGCAAATCAGAAGGTCAGTTCCATCTTATCCACAGAGTTTATCCAGAGTAAACAATAACTGCCAACACGTTTTTGACGCATGACCAAAGCTTTCTTGCTGAGAGTGGGTGTGTTCTGAGAGCTTTGTAAACTAACCTGCAACAGCTTTCACGTCTGCTCTTGAACCAACACCATCGAGGAGACGGGTCGGCCGCCCTGACCCTCTGCCAAGCTGTTCTGTCACACAGACAAGAATAGCTAAGAATAAACGTAAACTGTAACCAGATGACGAAAAACTCCTTCCAGAAGTTATTGATTTCTTAGTTAAGACGAGAAACTCCTTAAGAGTTAAGCCAAACGCTCGAAACTGTGTACCCGGCGACATCTCTGGACCAGAGGATCGGTTCACTCGCGTCTTCTCTACCGGACCGAGTACCAAGAGGACTCCATCGTCCCTGATCTTGGGATCCACAAAGAGGGTCTCCTGTTTGGGTGAGGTAGCACACAGGAATGTGTTTGATGCTGTTTTCTCTAAGTAAACAACTCAGGTAGCTAGAAAACATCATTTCCAGCCAGAACGCTTTCCTCTTTCTGAAAGAAATCTTCTGAGAATTCCATTCACGCATCCAAACTCGTATTTTCATTTAGCTTTCATCCAGCCACAGGTTTGCCTTTTGAAATAAGTTTAATATCAAAGCAGTTAAAAATTGTCATTAAATTGTCATCCATGAATTGTCATTTATAATTGTTCTTCAAATCTTAAAGTTTAAAAATTGTTAGTAATAAAATTCTTCATTTATTTAACTTGCCTCATTCTTGAATTGAAACACAGAAAGGTATAATATTTCTGGTTATTGAAAAGCAAAGATTCCTAGCGTCTGATTCAAAATAAACTTTTGCTATTAAATTTAATTATCTTAAATTAAACATTAATCTTTGGATTAAAATAGACCAAGTGAATTGGTGTATGAGCTTCTATTGATTATATAAGTTTCTTGAATATTTATACAGGGATGAGCCGGATACTCGTTTCAGACGAGTATCCGGTACGGATTAAGCATTTTTGATGAATACGAGCATGACACGAGTAAACCTCATAAATTTCTGTAATCGTGCTGAAGCAAAATCCTCATTGGGTAACTGACTGTCTTCACGCTCTGTGAATGGCCAGTCACATAGAGCGCCCGCCCCTTCCTACACACAAAACTCTCTAGCCGGCCGGGAGCTCAGTGAGTCCGGCTCATCCACGCACACACACACAGAAACGGATCTCGCTGTGATTGCTTCACTGTTGCTCACGTTTCTTCAGTTTTCCCTAGGTTTTCTTCAGCTCGCCTCTTTTTCGGTTGAATATTTAAAGTTACTTTTTTTGTAACTTACATGGTGCATTTGACAAGACAGAGCTGACATGCTGTGTCTCTACCTCTGCTCTGGTCGGGTTTTTTATTTTATTTAACTCCCTCTCTCTCCCTCTCTATCTCTCTCTCTCTCTCACACACACACACACACACACACACACACACACGCACACACACACACACACACACACACACACACACACACACACACACACACACACACACACACACACACCTCAATCAACATTGTTTTGTTTAACTCTGTGTGGGAAAATGCCAAGAACGTTAAGAAAAAAATCTGTTAAATCAAATTAAAATAAAAAAAAATATATATAAAGTTGTGTCTGATTCTAGCATTTCATATTTCCTAGTTCCTACTGCATGAGTTCAGATGTATTGATCCATGCACTTAAATATTAATGTTCTGATTTTATTGAAACACTTGTTCTGTAATAGTTCCTTTACTATTGTGATCAAAAATATTTAATCTCTATTCTGAGGCTGCTCTGTAAATAGTTTTCAAATAAACCACACACATATCAACTTCTGATCAATCCATATCAATTTCAGACTTAAAATAATATATTGATGTAAACCACACCCACTTCCGGTTAAACCACGCCCACTTCCGGGTTATGCCACGCCCACTCCGAGTACAGATACAGATAATTTAGTTGATTGAACAGATACAGATACAGATAGTGGTGTACTCGCTCATCCCTAATTCATGATATAAGCTCATGTGCTAATATGCTGGGTCATTCTCAGAATCTAACAACTGATAGCAAACAGTGTTGATTCTAGTATGTAGTTGACCCTACACCAGACCTGGGCATTTCACGGCCCGCGGGCCACATCCGGCCCTTTGTGTATCCTTTTCAGGCCCGCGTGAGTTCAATAATGATTAGATTATGTAAATATATGTAGTGAGTGCAATACGACGGTGCTGCTTTTATTCTGAAAACCGCTACGCTACTTCCACATTGACGTATCTGCGTGTCGCGAGCTTTGAGCATCAACATAAATATACGGCTTTGAGTGAAGGTGAACAGCCATAAATGATGTTAGCCTCAAGATGGAAGCACACGCTAAGAAGCGAAAAATTGATAGCGAGTGTCGCGTTTTTAACAGGACATGGACAGCCAAGTACTTGTTCACAGAAATTAAAGGTGTGCTTGGTCTGTGGTACACAGGTCGCTGTGTTAAAAAGATTACAATTTGAATCGCCACTACACGACCAAACATGAGGATAAATACAGAAATCTGTCTGAAAAAGAGCGCGCAGGGGTGTCTGATGCATTGCTAGCAAAACTGCAAACCCAACAAGGACTTTTCACCAAACTTCACACCAGCAGAGAGGCTGCCGTTCGGACAAGTTATGTAATATCTCACAAAATCGCCAGGAAAAGTAAGGCATTTTCTGATGGAGAGTTTATTAAGGAGTGCTTATTGGACTCAGTTACACTGATATGCCCAGAGAAAAAGGACGCGTTTGAGAATGTCTCACTCTCCCGACGTACTGTGACGAGGCGGGTTGAGGACATCGCTGAGAACTTGGAGCTTCAGCTGAAGAACAGAGCTGCTGACTTTGAATTTTTTTCTCTGGCTTTGGATGAGAGCTGTGATGTGCGTGATACCGCCCAGCTTCTCATCTTTTTACGTGGAATAACTACAGACTTTCAAGTCACGGAGGAGCTGGCTGCCATGCAGTCAATGAAAGGAACAACAACCGGCAATGACTTATTCATAGAGGTAAATGCATGTTTGGAAAAATTAGGACTGAAATGGGACAATCTGGCAGGTGTAACAACAGATGGTTGTCCAAATCTGACTGGAAAAAATGTAGGACTTTTAAAGAGAATGCAGGATAAAGTAACAGAAATTAATCCTGTGCAGAAATTGACATTTTTGCATTGTATTATACATCAGGAAGTGTTGTGTAAGACAGTGTTAAAGATGGACCACGTTGTTGATGTTGTAACTAAAACTGTTAACTTCATCAGAGCAAGAGCATTAAATCACAGACAGTTTATTGCTCTTTTGGAGGAAAATGAGATGGAACATGGTGACATCAGCTACCACTGCTCTGTCAGGTGGCTCAGCCTAAGCAAGGTACTGAAAAGTGTCTGGGATCTGAGAGAACAGATTCAGGATTTTTGTGTGAAGAAAGGACATGCCGTCCCAGAGCTTTCAGATGAAGATTGGGTGGCAGACCTCGGATTTGCTGTGGATGTGACTGCACTAATGAACCAACTAAATGTCAAACTGCAGTGCAGGGGACTTTTTGTGCATGAGATGTACAGTGCAGTAAAGGCTTTCATGAGGAAGTTGCAGTTTATCTCAAGCCAAGTGAAGGACAACTTTCTGACCCACTTGCCAACACTAAAGGAGGCTATTCCAAATGCCAATCACCCCCACAAGTACTCAGCCAAGTTAGAAGTACTGCATGCAGAGTTTTCAAGGCGATTTCAAGATTTCAAAGCTCTTGAAAATGAAATGAACATGGTTTCTTCTCCCTTCACCTGCAGTGTGGATAATGCTTCAAGTGATGTTCAGATGGAACTCATCGACCTGCAGTCTGACACACTTCTGGCAGAGCACTTCAGGTCAGTCTCACTGCTGGACTTTTATTCCTCCCTCAAAGAAGAGAACTTTCCACACCTGAGGAATCATGCTCAGAGGATGCTAGTTCTCTTTGGATCTACCTATGTTTGTGAACATACATTCTCGGTGATGAAGTTCAACAAATCCAAACACAGGTCCTCTGTCACTGATGACCACCTCTCAGCTGTTCTTCGCATAGCCACCTCAGCCATTCAGCCAGATTTCAATGCCCTTGTTCAAAACCAAAACAGGCTGGATTATTCTCACTGAAAAACTCACTTATTTCTCACTGAAGAAAACATAACACAAGTCATTGTATTGTTGCATTTCTATAAACTTCTTGTTTGTTGAGTTAAACATGTTAAAATAAAATGACATTGATTCGGTGGTTGCGGTTGTTTTTGTTTTATTTGGAATATGCGCCACAGTTTCACATAGCATAGCCCAATGTAAATATTTGCATTATTTTATTTTAGTTGTATTCTTCTGATTACCAGTACCAGCTATTTGTGATATATAATTTAGTGAATTTTACTATTTAAGAAAGTTAAGCCAACTTGGGTTCAAGATGTCGTTAATGTGGCCCTCCGATGCAACTCGGGTTTTGTCATGTGGCCCCTTGTAAAAATTAATTGCCCACCCCTGCCCTACACTGTGTTTGTAAGTTAAGTAGAAGAAAGATAAGTCCAGTTAGGACAGTTGGTTGTGGTATTGTTAACCCGGTAGACACTCAAAACCCATACAAGTAGCTAACTCTAGTCATTTTACCATCTCAGAAAGTCTAAGTATTGGACATCTCTCTCAGAACCTCCTAGACTCCAGAGGGGGATGTAACATCTGGTGTCAGCCCCTAACGGATGAAGGTGGAACTGCAATTGTTGCCACTTCTGTGTTGGCATCATAAAATTCCCCAGCCTGGCCTGCCAGACTCCTCCTCTGCTTAATTCTGCACAGAGAAAGGGTCTGGAAACTCTCCTATTCAAACAACCCCACCCCGTGAGAATTCTAACCGCGCCAATCAACGCTGAGTAGCATATATCACACACCACACCGCAGAGTTTGTCGAACAAGGCGACTGAAACGGAGTTTGCTGCTGCTCTTTCCTCTGGTCTAAATGACTTGAATGTCTTTAAAGAGCAAGTAACGTCTAAATTAACTTTTTTTTGCTGATGAACTGTATAAATGAGTGTCTAATAGTGTTTTAAATGTGTGTATTCATTATTTTAGCATTTTGGTGCATTTTCTTTAAAAATTAAAAATTCTGCCTAAATACCACAGTATAGCGCCACCTTCAGCTTAAAACATAGAATTTGACTCATTTTGAATAAATTTTAGCCAATGGCTAAAGAGTAAGATACTACGTAACCCAGTAGAGTACTACGTAGCAGCTCTGTGTCAAAGCTATAAAAGCAACGAGCGTCTCGGCCACGCCTTGTGGCGAGTTGGGAGTTGGATTTGCAAGCGAGCGTAGGACGGTAAGCGGTAGTTCAGCATTAGCATATAGCATTAGCATATCCTAGTCTTTAGCGTAGCCTTTATTGTTATACATACTTATTTAGTGTTAGCTTGGCTGTTGGATAGTGTAGTTTAGTTAGTGTTTGGCCGTTAGTGTTATTAGGAAAGTAGTTCAGGTTTAGTGCTCCATATCGTGTTAGTATGCTGTGAGAAGGTGTAGTGTAGTATGGTTGCGGTGGCTCTGTGGGGTTGTACTCCTTTCCGCTGGACTTAGAAATTAGGCGCCAGTGGTTGCGTGTCTGGAAAACATTCAGCTCCCGCCGGGTGCTGTAGTTTGCAACCAGCATTTTACCAGCGATTCTGGTCTCCGTTTGAAGAGGGAGGCAATGCCCACCGTGGCTCTTCCGCGATTTAGATGCAGTCCACCGACTCTGCTCCCCCACCATGACGGGCTCCAGTCTGAGGTGAGTAAGCTAAATAGAAGTTAACATCTTCTAAAGACAATTTCCTACCTAAATGCAAAGTTTGCGAGACGTGGTTCACTCCATTTAGCTAATATCAGCCTGCACTGCCTTCGGGCTGATTTGTCAAGTTCACAAAATGTGGAACGGGATGTAAGGTTAGAATCAGCGGCGAATCGGAACATATCTCGAAGCCCTGGCCGACAAAACGGTCCACATGACTGTCAGGCTCAGAGAAAATTCGGGTTGTTTTTGTGTCAGTCGGTAATTCTGCAACAGTGACTCTAACTAACGCAGCACTAGTTGACAGACATCATTACAGCGTGAAATCCAGCACAGCGTGACCCGGTTCCGTGAGGAATTCTGTTCAGGAGGTCGCATTTCAGGCTCTCCACATCATATGCGACTGACTTTTACGTTATAACAACGATCACACACTAGGAATGTTATAAAGCGCCTATACAGGACAGTTTCTTTTGTATAGTATCTGACTTTATAAACAACAATGTGCTTCTATTTTTTTTAGGCTAAATCTACCCAAGACACTGGCTGTCAGACTGATTTAGCTGCAAGAATGCACTTGTCCAGGCTGACGTGAAGCGTTACCCGTAGCAAAGGTGAATTATTTTTAATAATCTTCTATGTAAACATTTTATTACCTTCTAGTTTTAATTTGTTTTACAGATTGTTGCACATGATTTTATGCTCTTTTAAACGTTTATAAATGTGATGCTTCTTTGTTTTTTATAGAGCTCACAGCCGCAGTGTGTCTTGTGACACAGGGACCATAACGGAAATTCATCTTCCAGAAAGTCCCAGAGCAGCGTCCACACCCCTGAAAAGACCAAGATGTGAGGTGTCTGCTGTTGATTCCAGCTTCCACCTCAGTGACAGTGCAAGCTCAGTGAACTGTTCAAGGTAAAAAAAAAATTAAAACATTTCTGAAATTTTAAGATATTAACAATTAAATAAACGTATGTGATTACATCATGACATCATGAAGGAGACTACTGATTCTGGCCCTGTGACACTTGGTGGTGACGTGTGAGCTGATTCACCTGGTAAATAACTTTTACATTAAATATTTTGTTCTTTGCTATCAAAAGTAAATTAACTAATAACCTGCATTATTGCAGGACACTCAGCAAAATATGGACTCTACACCATGAGGCAGGCACACGTTAATAACTCAATAAGAGCACATAAGGTGAGCAACACCACATATTATTTTTATTACTGTACACTGTCCTGGATTTGTTTTCTTTCTGTGTGATTTGTTTTCTTTCTGCATCTCATCATTAGCCTGGCTGATCACCTGATAACTCCTGTCATCTGGTTATGACAGCATGAGGATGTCCTCACACACCTGTAACCTATCAGCTCATCTGGCAGAATAGAGAGAGAAGAGACAACACCACTTCTCCTGTTCCTGGAAAGCCTTCAGCCATCCTTAGATGACTGAGAACCTCCATCAGCTCTGTCTCCTGTCTGCCTACAATTATTATAATAAATATTGTGTTTGACAAGTTTTTTTGTGCTGCCAAATATCTCATTTTGATTCCAGTTTTGATATTTTAATGGATATTTATAAATTACATTGATTATCACATTTTTGTTGCATGTTTAACTAGCTCTATTGTGATGAATTAAACTAGCACCTCACTGTTAAAAGCTCGTTTTAATTTCAAGCATGTTTAAGTATTTATGGACATGAACAAAAACAGGAAATATATAAATTAAGATTTATTTAATTAATATAACAAATAAGGGGGAAAGAGTCATTGAAAGGCACATTCTTCCGGAAGCTCCTGATCCTGACGACACCAGAGACCAGCTGCAGACACCAGAGGACCTAGAACCAAGAGAGCAGCTGTTATCAGTAAATAAATAAATCAGGGCAGTTTTAGTGGGCTGAACACATTACAGAATAATTTTCTCATGGGGTATTTTCATACATTTCTATGCAGCAGACTGTAACTTGAGCTCCTGGAGAGATGCTATCCAGCACGTTTCAGTGGTTTTCCTGCTTTAACAGGTTAGATTAGCTGTTAAGCAGCTCAGCTATTTGTTGCTGATTAAAACCAGGTGTGTTGAAGCAGATAAACCTCTAAAACATGCTGAATACTAGCTCTCGGGCCGTGGAGCAAAACCCTGCAGCTAATCCAATACTATGGCTAACGCCTACTTACCATTCAGAGCTGGTTCTGTTGGGTCGGTTCCGCTAGTTCAGGCAACTCACAAGCTCAAAACAATAAGGCTCAGGTCCGCTTGTCTCCTCCAAATATACTTGGTCCCTTTCTTCTCGAGTGTCTGGGTAAGGAGGGGGAGAAACGTCCTCCACTTCTAATAACTGCTCAGAGAGAGGGGAGCTAGCATCGTCTAGTTAGCCATCGTCTTCGTCACTGCCGCGGCTCCGCCCTCTCGGTCCTCCAGGCAACGCCTACTAATGTTGCATTTTTTTAAATTGATACGTGGGTGGAGAAGGACTCCGAGGCACACTTTACCTGCTCTTTAAAACCACAACAAGTAGAAGCGCTAAAAGTATTTCCTCTAAAATAAACAAGATGTTTGCGCCGTTGTCAGACACCTTAATTTTTTTTGTACTACTGCTAAAAATAAAAAACTACAGTGTCGAGCAGTACAGTCAGCATTTCCGTCTTTTTTCTGATTGGTTATTTTTGAGCTGCCTGTCCCGCCCCTCAGCCTGTTAGTTACCAGACTCTCTGTGCAGAATTAAACAGGACGAGTCTGGCAGGCCAGGCTAAAGATTCCCAGGATTGTGCAGGCTTGTTTTAAACTCATGTCAATATCTGCAGTATTTGGCACAGCTCAAAAATCTATTTGATTAGTGTGACTGCAATCAAAGTGAATTCTTTCACAAAACAAGCATATTTTTAGTTCCAACTCCAGAACAATGAACCATCTCAATTAAATGAATACTGCAATGTTAGCCAAAGTAGGACTTGCGTTCAGATAACAGAATCACACGTCTAGAGTTAATTACACCAATTCAACCATTTTAACCTCCACTCACTGCATGCTTGGACATTTTGTAACAGAATCCTGCTGGTGTGAGCAGCTCTCTCCTCAATAACAGACAAGGAAACAGGCAGCTGCTACCACTTCTACTTTAGGACAACTGGTAAATATCCTTTCTTTGTATAGCGCTTTCTAGGGTTGAACAGATTAGCCCTCTTAATGTCAGTTTTTTGATGAGGTATTTGAAGAATCCTGAGTCTGTGGCATCATCCTCCCATATTTTCAGTCCATACTTCTGGTTGTGCTATGACCTCTTAAGGTTCTTCTGGAGGTGAACAACAAGGAGGACTTATTTTGGGCTCATTTCAAAACCACCATCTGGATTGTTAATTGGATTTGATGCATGAAAGTTTTCACAATAAACCTTGAACTGATTTGATAAAAGCAATGACTCAATTTCTTTGTTTTATTTATTCGTACAAAGAATATCATGGATGTACAATGAAGCTAAAGAGCAGCAGCAGCAAGAGTTCAGAGACTCCAGACAACTTCTCACCATGGCCTCCCTCTTGGGATTCAGTGAAGTCTGTTCTACATCACTTCACATGACTTCTTTGAATGGACCACATCAGTATTCTTGACTGGGTAAAAGAAAAGGAGGAAATTAGTAGACTGATGTGCACCATGTCTGAAATAGTATTCATTTAATCTTTCACAGTAGCACTGTTGCCACTTGGATTCAAGGTCTCACCCATCTCCTGTGTAGCCCTCAGGAATGGGTGGGACCCAATTAAATTCAGGCCATCCCAGGGTCTCTTTCACATTTTGTTCTTGCAGCCACTTTGTTACAGGCTCAAAGTATGTCATTAGTGAGTTGGCATTTATCTCTCTGGTGCCAATGGCCTCCTGGAGCACATCAGGCCAAGGTTTGGAAGAGCCAGCCTGAAGAACTTTCCTTTGAGAAGGACAGACATTAATGCTGCATTTTCAGTGTTTTGAACTCAAGATCTGGCTTGGGCATACTTTAGAATGGCTCCTGCTTCTGCAGACCGGTAGATGTCACATGTGTGCAGAGGGCCAGTGTGATGGGCTGCTTCACACAGCTTCTCGTGAAACTGGAACTGCAGGATGAAGCTGATAAAATACCTGCAGAAGACAGGGGAGAAAAAAAAATGTAGGTTGGTCGCGTTAGAAACTTGACCTGTTTCATATTATACCACTTTGCATCCCTCTGCTGACAAATGACCAAACTTGTTTGTGGAGCAGATAGGTGTCTGAGGGGGAACTCATTACCTCCTTTATGGCTGTTAGCTGTGATGCTAGCGATTAGCATTTTCAGTTCACCAATCAATAAAAAGCACAGAAGAAAAAGAAGTTTGCTTTTTCTATTGGCATCATGGCAGAGACTGGAAGTAAAAAGTAAGTAACGTCTTTGGAGGTGAAGCAAAGGGCTAAAACCAGAGTGAACATCGGCATGTCCTACACTAGTTTGAGGGAGCTTAACAAAGTTACAAAACCACATACAGATTGTGACATGGCTTTGTTGCTACTGGACTAAAAAAGTTATACATTTTGTTCAACTGTGTAGAACTTCACTTTGTATTAGTATTAATTTGCACATGCTAATGTTACTTCGTTAAAGCTAGCTACAACAGGGCTGTTTATGACAGATGTAATTCCACTTTCTACCAGTAGGGCAGAGGAGCAGGAATTTTCTCTATTACCTTTAAAGAACCAGGGAATAAGTTATTTTAACCTGAAGGACATTAACAAAAGGAATCTAGAATGGTCATTGGGCTTGTTGAATTTGCCCCATGGTCTAGAACAAGAATTTGGTCTAGAATTTCCTTCTTTTTTTTTTTACCTGCTGACAATTGTAGTACAATTTCACTCAAACTAAAATTTTATTTGGGTATACACTACTAGTTTTAGCTGCAAGCTGTTTGAAAATTGTGTTCCATGTTCCCCTTTATGCACAAACCCATTCAAAGGATTTTTGTATGATCATGTTGGAGATGTATATTCAACCCTAGAAAGCCAATGGGGGTCCTACTTGTCGCCTGGGACCATTCCACTTGGACTGGAAAACATGAGATCAGATACCTGATGTATGGTACATTTTCAGGGATGTGGAATTTTGCACCAGGATCAAATTGGTCCTCTGTACGCTTGGTGGGTGGGCAAATTCCTTGGTATTTGGTTCTATAAGAAAAGAGTGCCAAAAAATAAAAATAAAAAAATTAATAAAATACATTAAAAAAATTAATAAGAGGTACATTTTGAAAAAGCTACGCATCAGGACCATTACAAAAAAGTATGCAAAAATCCTACTGTTAGCTTAAACTGTAGCAATATGTAAATTTAAACTAAGCCCCACCTGAGGTACCACCACTCAGAGTTGTATTTATCTGGAGGGGTGCGCCCATCAAATACCCCCCATCTCCACTGGTCAATGAGGTAACCAAAAGGAAGGAAGGCAATCTTCTCCAGAGCCATCTTCAACAGGAAGTTAAGGTCAGTTTCTGGGGAGGAAACATCCAAAGTTGGTTTTGGCAAAACTCAGGTTTGACGACCGATATTCAACAGGGTGGCATTGTTACCTTCGTCAGAGGTTGCCGATTCTAGCAGGTTAATTTTGTGCAGGTGCTTTGGGGTCGAAACAGAAAGTGCCATAAGATCGCCGATGGCTTCGTGAAATCCGGGGTTGGCTCCATCGCGAAAGCCCACAGGCTGGTCCTTGTACTGCAAGAAATACTCGATGTGTCCCATCTCATGGTGAGCAGTGATGAACTGCTCCATGGTCACTGTGGTGCACTGCATAATCCTGAGGAGGTTTAATGATTATTGAATACAAGCTTTACAGGTAAATAGTTTACCAGATAAACAAGCTTACCTGAAGTCTTTGCGGTTGTAAAAGTCCCAGGCAGACGCGTGACACACTACCTCTCGATCCTCAGGCTTAACAAGCATAGAACCTTCCCAGAATTCTTTAGGCATTTCTGCTAAATCCAAGGAGGTGAAGAACTCCTCGGCCACACGGAACATGTGTGTAGCATTGTAGCCCTGTGGGCAATAAGAGTCATTTTACAAACATTCAGAAAATTTAGAAGCCTTTCCCACTGCAGTAGCACAAGTTTCCCCACTGACTTGTTTAACCATTTCAGCCGTCACATCCACGTTGGGTTTGTCAGGAAATGGGACCATCATGTCAAAGATGTTGTTCCAGGTCTGGGCCCACATATCTCCTGAGAGTGAGGATGGAAACACATGGCTATTCTGACTCCATATGAGATACTCCACTAAAGGAAATCCCTTCACAAAGAATGTTTATTCAGTTCAATGACTGCATCATGATACCACGCTGCTACTGACCTTAGTTAACATTAAGGAATTGTAAAAACAGCTTCATTTATGGACATATTTCCCATTTAAAACTACTTTAAAAAAAAAAAACATCTGTAACCAAATGCACCGTACCCAGCAGGTGTGCAGGAATTGGTCCCTTCAGGTTGATATATCTGGGTCCATAGAAGTTGTAGAGTTTGCGGCGCACAAATGCATGCAGGTTCAGGTAAAGTGGCTCGATGGTCCTGTAGAGCTTTTCTATATCCTGCTCAAAAGTTGGAGTCTCGTACCAAGAGCGCCACTCTGCTCCAGTGTCATTGAATCCTACAGAATTAGACGTCCCAAATTAGATCAGTTTACATCCTCTGTGTTGGATTTCTTTTTGCCATTTGTCTTTGCAGTTTTTCCATTTAAAAAATATATTCTCACCATCTCCTCTAGAGGCTTTGTTGCTGAGCTCAACAAACCTGGGGTAGTACGCCTTTATAGGCACGCCAGAGTCATTGTGCCAGGCTTCCCAAACGTAGAGCAACTTCTTGTAGCTCCTGGATTTGGCCATGATGTCTGTTAGCTCTTTAAACACAAACGACAATTTTCTCTCAGAGCAGACAAGCTACAGTAGAAACAAGTCGCGGCTGCTAAAAGGACAAATGTAAAGTTTCCCATATAAATATTTGCATTTCCTGTAACTGTACATTTTTACATATTTCTCTTTTACATATTTGTTTGAATGCTGAAAAGCATTCAAACTATTGTTTTCCTGTTTCTCTTTATTCTTCCATATTCTGCTTCCGTACACTTTTTAAACCTCTTCTTCTCCTTCAAATTTGGAGCTATTTCAACCATTTTATATCAAAACGTTCAGCTCGTTAAGCTCTTTCCGGCTATTACTTTTAGCATTGATATCGTTCGAATTTTTCGAGTTATCAAGCTTTTTCTGCGAAAAATTTCCCATTGAAATGAATGGGATTGGTCAATTTTCAGCAAATTCCTATCACTTTTTTGACCCCAAACTCTATAGGGTTCCTTTTAACTTAGAGACTTCATTCAAAGTTTAACAAACTCACAAGACTTTCCTGTTTAACATGTTAAAGAGGCTTTTTGATATCTTTTACGGTTTTTCTAAAATCGCAGGTAGAAGTTGAGGTACGACTTGAAATTTTCAGAAAAATTCACAAAAGTTATAATGGGGAAAGATAGGAGCAGTGACCCTCCCTAGCTCTATTTCCGGCGTTGTCCCGAGAGAACCGTAGGTCCGATTGAAATGAGACACACGCTGGCTTACAGCTAACGAATATACCTTCGTTTTGAGCTAAAATCATGACTGTACTCCAAATATTGTGGCCGTACGGTTCATTTGTTTGAGAAAATTCAAATTTAAAAAAATGTCTCTGCTCACTCTAACTTAAGAATTCCGCACTGTAACTTTTGAACTTCACATCTTCTGTGAACAACTCTTTCCTACACCCAGACCGTTTGGACTACGAAAACAAATTATAACTCAAAAAGTAGGAATTTTTATCAGCTTTTCAGAATGGGTTTCATTTTATCTGTAAGTGTTACCGTTCTTTCGCTACAAGCCTCAGAAAGAGGAGAGACCCAGCTTTTCTCTCATTGAAACCCATGTTAAAGGAACAGAGATTTTCTCCTCAAAACGGCTTCAGACAGCTAAACGTTTCTCATCATAGCTTCTGGACAATTCATGTTAGGCACATAAAAATCGGCACGGATGATCATCAAAGTCTTCTACCACTCAAGCTTTTTGAATTTTTCAAATCGGTGCAGTACTTTTCGAATGGTGATGAGAAGTTTGACAGGTCCAATTTCACTTCTGAAGGACAGATTTCAAGGGTTCTCTCATTAACAGGAGCATAGGCGGAGATCCCGGGGGGACGGGGGGGAAGCATGCCCCCCTCACACAAAGTTGTCCCCCCCACAAAAGTTATTGTAAATGTATAAATGCTATCAGTAAACCTGTATTGTCTTCTAAAACCACAACGTAAAAGTTAGTCTGCAAATACAAAATAATGTGTTTTTAATTGTTGATAAATTATATTCCCCCCCCCAATTCCTCAAGTTGGTACAGTCGGTCCACACGCGCTGTTTCCAACGGGCGGGGCTGCCGGCTTTGCCTCACTCACAGCTTCACAGCAGCCCGCAGGCTCACAGGAAGCGGGAATCAAAAAGCCAGCGGTTTCAAGCAGTAAGTCAATTATCTCACGCTTGTTCTACAAACTTAAATATGTATGTCAAATGTGGTCATAAATGATGCAGGAAGATGAGAGACACAGGACAGGAAAATAGTTCAATAAAAACAAGAAAGCAAAACTAAGTGTTGAAAAGTAAAATGTAGGTAGATTTATCTCCACTAAACACATGTAATATTTATACATTTGATACAATTTAGATCACCTTCAAAACTCAGTCACACACCCAGGGCCGTTTCAAGACATTTTGGGGGCCAAGGCAAAATGACCCCACCCACCCACACACACACAAAATAATATACAAGAGAATTAAAGAGAATTTAAGGTGAAGCGCTTGCACATACTGTGTTATTGTGTGGTTTGTTCTGTGTGTAGAAACACGTTCAATTTGACTGACCGTCAGAAGGTGGGAAAGTGCCCCGCTCCCACCCAGCCCCCTGATTGGTTGAGAGAGGTCAATCATCTTCTGGCTAAATGGAATTACACACCCACACATGTGAGACATCAAATCGATCGGCTAGGCCTAAGGAATCCATCCATCCATCCAACCAACCACCCCCCCAAACCACCATCCATCCATCCATCCAACCAACCAACCAACCAGCTCTATACACTTAAAACTCTATACACTTACAACTAGCAGCATAGCTGACATTTTAACACTAGACAGAAGGCAGGAACCGCCCCTCCTCCTTCATTGCTCTCTCATTGGCTGAGAGTTTTCAATCGTCTTCTGCCTAAAAGGAAATGTGCACCCACACGTATGGTACATCAATTCAACCTGCTTGGTCCCAGGAGTCTTGTATTAACTTGATATTGTGCTCTGCGTTTCCATGGCAACGTGCTTAGCAACAACATTTAACAACATTTTAGACACAGCTGTATCAACATACTTTCATATAGAAATGTTATTCAAAGTTTAAATGACTCATGTGTTATTGTACATAGCTTTATTAATGCAGACTTCTGTCATCTGTTACCATGGCAACACAAGGAACTACAAATCACTTTAACCAAGTCTCATAGGAATGAATACAAAAAGAATATTGAGCCATTAACAGACTCCTGTTTTTGAACTGTTTGTACTTAAAACTAGAAATAAGTTCAATTTCATTTACCATCAGAAGGTGGGAAAGTGCCCCGCTCCCTTCCAGCTCCCTGATTGGTTGAGAGAGGTCAATCATCTTCTGGCTAGATGGAACTACACACCCACGCATGTGAGACATCAAATCGATCGGCTTGGCCTAAGGAATCCATCCATCTACATATAAATCCATACATGCTTCTATCTATCCATCCATCCATCCATCCATCCAATAAACCATCTAACATCCATCCAACAATCCATCCGTTATTTCATTCATCCAACCCTTCATCCATCCCATATCAAATCTGAACATATGTTAATCTATCAGTTTCAGATATCAGCAAATATTTCTAAATCCACAGTCCAGCCAATTATAAAAATGTACCCGTTAAACTATTCTCATTCAAATGCCAGCTGATTAACGTTTCAAATTTCAAGTTTTTAATAAATGTTCAAAGATTAAAATTGTCTGCTGTTTAGCATTTTTATCCATTCTTCGCCTATATTCTGAGCTTTATTACGCTTGTTGGTGATTTTTGCTTCTAAATCTTTAAATACATTCAGCTCATTTTGACAGTTCAGTCTAGTTTCAGCTTCAGCTCAGCTGTTCGGCGGCTTCAGCTTACAGTTTCAGCTATCCAGCTTTCAAACAGCATTTGAGCAACAAATGCAATTTTTCTAGTTCTCTTTGTTTCATTCTGGTGAAACATTTGTAGCCTCCAGAATTGGTCTGTTTTTCATCTACAGTTTGACCTCTCCAGTATCCGGTCAGATGGAGACATTAGTCTGAAGCTGCCGCCTTTAATCTGCAAGAAAGATACTGTTGTTTGCCCAAGGTCCCTCGCAAGCTCCCTTTTATCTAAGACTGCTTTGTTTCACAGAACAAGAAGGATGAACTTTCATAATTAGAACATTTAATGAAATCAACTTTTATAAGAATGAACCGTTATAAATAATGAAGTGTTAAAATAATGATGAAATGGAATGAACATGGTTAAATGAAATGTTTTTGATTAATCTGTGCTTAGATTAATAAGGATGAAAGGAAATATATGACCCATATATTTAATCAGCGTACGTGACTGGACAAGACACACTCACCATATCTCCATGACGCAAGTTAAAATTAACGTCACTGCACATTGATATTTTCTTATCCACAAAATCAGCATCTTCATATTTGAGGGAGGTATGTATCTGAGGTTGGTTGGCAAAACCCCTTTTCATGGCAAGTTCTGATTTGTCAGTAAACCAAAATATGGCCATTATTATAACAGAATTACTTCCTAAGTGATTCAGTTGAGCTAACTGACTGGCCATCAGAGGAAACCTCTTCTCCCATTGCATCTTTTGACAAGCTGTCAAAACCTCTTACATGCTACAGCTGACCGCAAATGGTTCCTTCAGAATAAAGCTGAACCAGCTCCGACCCCTTAAGAGTCTTCCATAGTTTCAAATAACTACCTGTTGTGACCTGGAGACATCTCAAGACCAGTCTAGTGGCACTGCGGTTTCTTCTACGGACTTCAGAACCTTTAGGGTCCATGGACTTCCTGACATTCCAGATCTACAACGGGGGTCTCCGAGAGGGTACGTAGACTCGACAGATTTCGTCTGATGTGGTTTTATAAACCATCACTTATAGTTTATAGCAGACCAAATTCACTCCCACTCAGAAGTCAGTTTCTCCAGATACGAAGGTTCTGATAACATCACATTCACACATCATCACACCTCACATTCCATCCACTTAGATTCATTCATCACATAAAGTGTTCCCTAGTTGTCATGATTTTAATTGTTTAGAAATAAATTTCTTACTTTTTATAAACTTGATTCTGTCTGAATTGATACGAAATGTTATACGATCCCTGAATAAACAAATAATTCTAATTCTTCTGGTTAAACATTCAAAGACCAATCAGATTGGATTTCCATATTTATATAGAAATTCACATCTTATTGGTCAAATGTAGTGTAGTATATTGAGCTTAAAAAGCACCCAAAATACATACATTTGCTAACCCTACACATTCACGCAAGGCCGTCGTCATACGTTGTTGGGTAGTTTTCACATCCTGCCAGGGTTTTTCCTGGCTCAAATTGAGGCAGAGGTGGTACCATCCTGACCATGCGCCAGCACATGCATACTCTGTGCATTCAACTGCCTCACTTTTTAAAGGCAAAATATTTTTTCATTAAGTGTTCTAATCTAAGCTTCTGTTGATTAATTGAATATTCCATTTGACAACATTTCAAGTGAAACAAAACTGGTTTGC